ATCCTCAGTATTAAGGACGACGTATATATTGGAATTGTTTATATACCACCTAAAAATTCAAAAATTTGGCATAGAAAGAATTACGATCCATACGCAGCCCTTGAAACCGATATAATGAATTACCAAAAACTAGGTAAAGTAATTATAGGCGGGGACTTCAATGCTCGAACTGGATCACTGGATGATGTATTTCATACCGAAGAACCATTAGATCGAGACAAACAATTCCCCTATTTTACTTCACATAATTCATTTATTGATAATATACCAATCAAACGAAACAACAATGATACCATTGTTAATACTTTCGGAAAAGATCTAAATAATATGTGTACTAATACGGACATGTATATTTTAAATGGCCGGACTTTAGGTGATGTTTTGGGTTCTCCGACATGCTATCACTATAACGGTTGTAGTACCGTCGATTATATTTTAGTTCAACATTCCATATTTAAAGAAATAACTTCATTTAATATACTTCCGATCAACGAATTTTCTGATCACTGTCTCATATATTGCGAGTTTAGTCCAGGTCAAAACAGTCACTACACTCAAAGAGATAAATCCAGAAGGTCAACACGCGATAACATATCAGTAACGCCAATTAATAAAGACAACAACTTGCATGCTGCTAACTTTGTTTGGGCACCGTGCTCTGACGAGGCGTTTAAATTCTGTCTAAAACAATTAGACTCGGTAAAACGCTCAAACGCTTTTCTCCTTTCAAACTTCGACAGTTCATTAAACGGGATAAATAATGCTACGGAAATGTTTAGTGATATCCTTATAAGTGCGGCCAAGACCAGTCTTAAACTGATAAAACATAAAAAGAAAAGAAATCAAAAGAAGAACGAATGGTTTGATAAGGATTGTAAACGCCATCAGACCGATATGATTAAAGCCAAATGGCAACTTCAAAAATATCCAAATGATAAAAGTTTATTGAAAATATATTCGGACAGACGTAGGGCCTATAAAAAGATAACCAAATTTAAATCTCGAGAAGTAAAAAATAAAATTTTAGATAAAATTAATGCATTAGAAACCAACAACCCAAGGGAATATTGGAAGCTTGTGAATAAAATACTTGAAAATAAAAAGTCTAATGAAGATCCAAATATTTCCTGCAGTGAATGGGAACAGCATTTTTCTCAAATATTAGCGACGGATGAAGACCCTAGTTTACCACTCCACAGGGAGATCAGAATAAGAACTGAAACTCTTTTAGAAACTAAAAATATAAACCATGACATAAATAAGCCCATCTCCGCGTTTGAATTTAAAACAACCGTAAGAAATCTAAAGAACAACAAATCCAGCGGACCAGACTTGATAATTAATGAAATGATTAAACATTCCTCTAGTATTCTTATTGACCACTACCTCAAGTTCTTTAATCTCATTCTCTCCTCTGGACATTTTCCGGACAAATGGACAGAGTCATATTTAATACCTGTCTATAAGAAGGGAGACATTAATAATGTTAATAATTACAGAGGAATTGCGTTAGCTAGCTGTTTAGGCAAAACGTTTTTGGCAATTATTAATCAACGACTCTCCGAGTACCTAGAAAACAATAACATTCTTGATAAATCACAAGGAGGATTTAGACCAGGAAAAAGAACAATAGATAATTTATTTATATTAAAGACTATTATTAACCGAAAATTATACGAAAAGAAAAATTTGTATCTATGTTTTGTCGATTTCAAAAAAGCATTTGATTCAGTATGGCGAGCTGGACTTCTCTACAAATTAGTTAAACATAATATAAACGGTAATGTATATAATATTATACAATCGATGTATCATAAAACAACTTATAAGATAAAATCTAATGATAAATTATCCGAGGTAATTTCTTCGACGGTTGGTGTCAAGCAAGGTTGTAACATGAGTCCAACCCTGTTTAATATATATGTTAACGATCTACAAAACTACCTTCAAAAATCAGCTAGCACCCCGCTGCTTAATGGTCAACCGTTATCCCATCTTATGTTTGCGGATGATTTAGTTTTATTGTCCTCTAATGAGGCTGATCTACAGAGTCAATTAAATAATTTATCCGAGTTCTGTTCATATTGGCAACTGAAACTTAATCCAAATAAAACAAAAATAATGACGTTTCTTAATTCTAAAATAAGTAAAAAGCAAAATTATATATATAAATTTTATTTTGAAGAATTTGAACTCCAAAATACCGAAACGTACAATTATCTTGGATTAACGATTACTAATAATTCTAGCTTTAAAACCGCATTTTTTGACCAAATGAAAAAAGCCCGACGAGCGTGGTATGCGATAAGACAGAAACTATGCTTTACTGAATCCCTGCCCTCTACAGTAATGATAAAACTTTATCATTCTATTGTTAAGCAGATAGCCCTTTATGGGGCAGAGATTTGGGGTTCATACGTTATCAAAAACAAAAACATAATTAAGATTGACAGATGGGATAAATTTGAAGAAAACAGAAGTACGATCAACATTTGTAAATCCATTCTCAATATGCCTAAGCGTGCTAGTAACATGGGATGTCTAGCTGAATGTGGTATCCATCCACTATCTCTGGACATATATCAGCGTATGCTTCTTTACTTCAAAAGATTCTTATCGGATAATAAAAACAAACTCCTAGACACGTCATTTGTAGCGGATTATGAACTTTCTTGTAAAACTGCTGGTTCAAGAAAATCATTTTGTCATAGCATAGGGGTTTTAACCAGATATTTTGAACTTGAACAAAATGACCTAAAAAATAGTGACATAAAATCTGCCACCGAAAAGAAATTTGTCGATCTTTTCCTAATAGTTACTGATCAACAAGAAAATTCGCAATCGATCCATAAACTTCGGACGTATGGAAAAATTAAGCCAAATTTTTATGCGATACCGTTCTATCTGCACTTCGTCAAATCGAAGGCCCATATAATTGCGTTGACTTCGATTAGGCTTAGCACACACCATCTCGAGATAGAGCGTGGTCGGTATAAAAATATTCCGCCACATGCACGTTTATGTAATCAATGTAATAATAATGAAATAGAAGACGAATATCATTTCATATTTGACTGTAATAAATATAACAATCTTAGAAATTCAAAATTTACGCCAATTTTCAAAAGCAATCCGCACATCTCGTGCAATATGATTAATGTTTTAAATCCCCCAAACGAAATTGCCAGTCAGGTTGCTTCATATATATATAAGTGTCTCCAAGAAAGAGCATCAGAGTTACCTGTTAACCAACACCCCAGTTCAATATAATATGTTTATTATACTAATACTTACGGTAGAAATAGTTTGTTTATTTTTCAGGCTAGTTTAGATAATTTTCGTTTTAGCTCTATACTGATTCTCATTATACCGACCATCTTTTAATGCCTATAGACTTGTTATATCACATTGTACATCCATAAAGGATCACCCCAGATGTTATGTTACAATGGTATGATCAACTTTTGTTTAAACTGTGTATGCTGTCCTTGGTGGATGCAATGATACAATAAAATCTTATCTTATCTTATCTTATGTAAATATATATAAGAGACGAAATACGGACAATTATGTTCATTCGTTTATAAACGTCGTTCGACGTCAAATAATTATTACTCATGTTTTTTTTATGAGTTTGTTTATATTTGTCTCGCCTAATAATTCATTAAAGAATTTTTTTCTTTGTTTGCATAATATTATGATGTGAAATAGTTTACTAAACTTATTCTCATAGTATGATAATAATTTATATTCAGTTATTGATTAAAGGCTCAATACCACTCTTGTTGTAACTGAATAATATGTCCCAATCTTTATTCTGGTCAACAAATTATACTATTTTACAGTATTCCAATTAATTGATGATACAAATTTCATCTTAACACACCTAATTTAAAAAAATGGAAAAATTCAACTAAATGATTTGAAAAGCCTAACGTAAACCTTTTCAAATGTGACTTGGATTTAAAAATATTTTCGAACCCTCTGGACAAGTAAAACAGGATGTAATGGATAATTTACACAACAGGTAGGACACTTAAACATCTAATACTTAGAATAAGGCTAATATTTATTTACTGGAGGTGTCAAGCCAGCAAGAGTGTTATTGTCCCTTTAAACAGGCATTATGTAAGAGCTAAATCTGCCCATTGCAGATCTTTCTTTGAGCTTTAAATGCTATCTAAATTATCAATTAGACATTTATTAACATGACAAGACCATAATCAACTCTCGACGCCATTAAAATGGTTCGGCCATTTAATGATTTAATTTAAAAATGGAGAAGCGAGGCTAAGACTCAAATGACCAGTAGGGTAGTTACGATCAATGCACAACCATTGATAAACTAATTTGAATGAAATTTTCAATATATTCATTTTGCATTATTTATTTTTTGAAATACTATAGCAAGAACGGCCAGCTTTTTACCTAAACCTTACATAATGCTCCTTTAATGTGTGTTTCCGTTTGGTCATAATATTGTAATGTGAAATAGCTTATACACTGAAAAAAAACTTGTGTTGAAATTTTTGAAACTTGTGTTGAAATTTCTGAAACTTGTGTTAAAATTTCTGAAACTTGTGTTGAAATTTCTGAAACTTGTGTTAAAATTTCTGAAACTTGTGTTGAAATTTTTGAAACTTGTGTTGAAATTTCTGAAACTTGTGTTAAAATTTCTGAAACTTGTGTTAAAATTTCTGAAACTTGTGTGGTTTCATACAAACTTGTGTATAACCATCCACAAAAACTTGTGTTGTGTTTTTCCCCAATTTATATACAGTATAGCAACCTTTTTATGCAGGACCCATCTCTTTGCTCTGTTAGACCTGTAAAGTTTGATAAAAGAAGGAAACAAAATTTGTTTTTGTTTTTGTAAGATTATTATTTATTCATAAAATCATAGGAAAAAGTAAATTAATACATCAAAACTAAATAGATATTTGAAATGTTAACAGAAAAACAGAGAATTCTAATACTAATTATATTGTGTTATATATAATGACCCCCCCCCCCTCCCACACACACACACACACCCCACTTTACCCATCACAAAATATAACATAGCTATTTAAATTGTTCTTAACCCCACACACTTTACCTATCACAAAATATAAAATAGCTATATAAATTGTTCTTTACCCCAAAACAAGAACTGAGAATATAAAGATATGTACACAGTATCCCTACCCCATACTCCAAAATATATAATTCAAATAATATCTAAATTTAATAACATCCAAACCAAGCACTAAGATTAATTATGCACTAAACTGAAACAATTTCAAAAACTGAAAAGTGCTACAAAATCACACTACAAGTGATTTGTGAGACATATAGAAATAACTAATATACACAGAAAACTAACAAAAGAAAAATGCACTATTTTGCAGGAGTAATAAAATGATGTAAAACCATTTCCGGCATAGTTCCCACTTGTCAGTAGTGTTGGATATGGCAAGGGATAATTGGGTACAAGCCCGGAATCGAAAGAGAGAGAGAGAGAAATGGGGTTTAACGTCCACTTGACACAAACTAGGTCATTTCGGGATTAACATATGGTTTAATTTTATTTCAATAATTCGTTGCGCATAGGGGTCTTTAGCATTGGGAGGAAACCAGAGGTCCCGGAGAAAACCCACAAGATTGGACAGGCGACCCTACTCCTTGTCACGTACAACCGGGGATTCGAAACCATGCCAGTTGACTCAATGACAGGCCGTATGATACCGCACGCACGTGCTCACCATTCGGCCATCCACCACCCCCTCCCCCATTCCCGGAATCGAAACCATCCCCACTGCGTTCACTTAGAAGAACCCTTGACAATTGAATTATTTGACTCAATGACAGACTTCCTGATCAAATGTGTGCGTGTTAATCATTGACCCCCCTCTCCCCCGGGTTCCCGTTAAAGAACCATTGACAGTTGAAATATTTGATATAAGAGTAGGGTGTAGGGCAGAATCACTCTAAGAACACAGAAAAGTAGGATACTAAACCGTATTTCATTTCATAAGCAAGGGAAAGTCACCTTTAAGTAGGTCAAGGTTTTTTGTAATTCTGGGTGTATTTGATCTACATTTGGTTTCTAGTAATGCCTATTAAATACTTTATGATTTCTGACCAAATTCTAAGTGATTTATATGTCACTTTACTTGCTATATTATACATACATTTCTGAAGAGAATTAAAATCTAATTGTGTTTTGGAAGAAAATTTAACATTAATAACAAAAAATAAATATTTAAAAATTGGGTCAAATGCATTCTTTCCCAGAAGTATAAAATAAATTGATGCTTGGGTTTTCTTGTTGTTATCATACAGCAAATACTCTTTCAATGGTGTTCCAGCCTAAAAAATAAAAAGTAGGCAATAAGAATACTTTCTATGGTTCACAACGTTTAAATAAACAATTCATTTTGCCACATCGAGACCGAGTCTCTATTTGGTTTCAACTTTGCGTAACGCTTATTGTGTCTTGTCAAGTTACAGACCCAGGCGGATTATTATGCTCAAATCAAATGAGTTAGAAGTCAGAAAAAAGTCTTGAGATTTGGGACTGAAGTCTCATAATAGGTCAACTATTCACTGCAAATCCAGATTCCCTACTACATCATGGCAGCACCTATTTACTTGGCAATGTCTAATTATTTTTGGACCCATTCTTATCTTATTTGACAACAAATTGGATATTACCCTTTAAAATCTATTGAAATCTATTTGAAAGTAAAATACTGTCCATCATTATTTTACTGCTATTTACTGTAAAAATACACATACATGTAGGGCCTATCGCAACTTGAAGGAAATCAATGGATGTGATTGGCAAAAATTAAGCATGCCAAGTACTTGAAACAGCAGAGTCCTAGGCATTGCCCCAAGAAGAATAACTAGATTACCAAGCAAGTGTATAGAAGTACTTCCTGATTAAAAATACAAATATATATGTTACTTACATTTTGCGTGTTTTCTCCTTGTCAGTGATACAGGACGGAGGACCTGACAAGGACAGCTGTCTAGTCGTTCGGATGGGACGAAAAACCGAGGTCCCGTGTACACATTGGCGTGCACGTATAAGATTACTTGGCAATTGGAATTCGATATAAGAGTAGGCTGTAGCGCCGCTGCCCGGGCAAAATTCCCTTCATAGCACACTGTATGGCGTATGCCCGTCTTCATTAGCCCAATTTATGAGCAAAACAGTAGGATGTTAAACCCCATTTCATTTCATTTTCAAAATTATAAAATAATTTGATGGCTTAATATTCAAAAGGTACAGTCCTTCATGTTTATAGAATTGTACGGGAGCCATAAAAAGCTCCTGATACCTTGAATATATGCAGTTTAAAAGTAAACAAAAATCTCAATATTTAGGAGAGAGAGAGAGAGAAATGGGGTTTAACGTCCATCCAACCCCCCCCCCCCACCAAGTGTATAGAACCAGTTCCTAATTTAAAAAGCAAATATGCATGGTACTTACATAGTCTTTGTCTGATAAGCAAGATCTGTGAGAAAACGTCTCCACAATATCAATAGCCCTTTCCAACTTGATCTTCCGAGGTGGGTAACTGAAAAAAAAAATGTCAATGTATTAGTTGGCTTAAATTGACTAGACAGTTTTGATTAATTAAAAAAATGTTAATTTAATTACATTTGTTTTGTTTTATGTGTTGGTTTGCTTTGCCACAGATGAGACAGTGATATCTACATATAACTAAGATTCTGTCTCTGCTCATACATGACGTGTACAGTTTTACTATACTAAACTGAATTTTAGATTTCAAAATAGCATAACAATCTTTTCTATTAGAATTAAATAGTTACCCACCAAGAAAAAGCTGCTCTATCATCATTTTTTCCAGCCATTTCTTCTTCCATTTTTTTCTTTTATAATTTCTTTTGTTATTACATGATCTTTTTCTGGGTGATTTGCATATACATCCAATATTGAAACTGAAAAAATAAATACATGATATGTAATTTACGATTAAAGCTACCTTACCATATATACAAACTGTGTGATATGAAATTGAAACTAATGTATCTATATGTATCAAAAGTTTTAATCCCAAGGAACTACCTAAGCCGTAAAAGTCTATCTTAATAATCCTTGTTTGTCACATGGTTTCACTGTCGCAGTAATTAGAAGACGGCCATGGTGACTGAGTAAATTAGGTGCTGGCACACTAGCATGGAGGCCACAGGTTATTTCTTGGGGTTGACCGAGAAAGCTCATCTTGATTTTGCAGAGTGGTTTCCCCTGAGATCCAATGCAATGTACACATTGGTGTACACATAAAAGTTCTCTTGGCAGTTTGAATTCGGTATGAGAGTAGGCCATAGTGTCGCTGCCCAGACAAACATTTTCACTTAGCACAATGCATTAGACCAGTCGGAGCTGACCAGTAGGACGTTGTCTTTAAACCCCATTTCATTTCAGGTAATCTAGTATTTTTCTAGTAAGATTGAAGTCTCTCTACTTTCTTTATATGTAAATATCATATTTGAAATAAATCATACTTTTATTCGATATGGGGTGGGGCTGGGGGGAATGGTCTAGTAGGTAATGCATGCGCATGAAATCACAGGGTCTGTCATTGTGTTAAGTGGCATGGTTTCAATTTCAAGGAGTAGAGTCGCCTGTCCAATCTCTTGAGTTTTTTCGCTGGGTCATTCGGTTTCCTCCGTTTTCTAAATACATATACCCCTACGCCAAGCGAATTATTCATATTAAATTGAAGCATACCTTCTCTAATCTCTGGGTCCTTTTGTTTCCTCCTTTTGCTAAATACCCATACCCGCAAGCGAATTATTCATATTAAATTTAACGTTACCTGTCCTATTTCCCGAAACGACCTAGCGTCTGTAGGCTAAGTAGATATAAGGACCGATCTTGCAACAGCTATACATTAGGTTCGTGCATAATTAATATTACAGTAACATACCAATTTTTAATACATGTAGAATGAGACAGTGTGCAGGGAAAGGGTGGAAACGGAAGTAGGCTAATCCTCGTCGTAGTTGATTACCGGTATGCATATAGGCACAGCATGGACTACTTGATTCTTCAAATACAAGTACATGTAAGGCCTTGTTTATGTCATCTCTCCCTCTCTCTCTCTCTTTTGCATGTAAGTGCCATATAAATACTTTATTTTGGATTGTATGTTCAAATACACTAATCATTGTAGGACATTGGTAAAAAAAAAAATAGAAAATATAAAAATTAATTGAAATTTTTACCTGTTTTTCTTCGATTCAATGCCAATGGAGTCCTTGGTAAATTTCAATAATTATTGCTGGAAGGTGGAAAGAGTCACATATCATCACTGACTGGAAAAAATAATAAAACTATAGAGAAACTTCCACAGGCTGATTCTAGTTCCATTATTTATTAACTGTGACTGAATCAGGCAAAAATGGGGCCTAATATGTAGTAGTTATAAGCACACTTTCCGAGGTGTATCGGTGAATATCAGGACAGTTTTGGTAGAGGGGCCCACTGATATTCACCGATACACCGAGGAAAGGTGCTAATAAGTTACTTACATCACATTTCTATCGAGTATTGTGAAGCAAAATGTGAAAAATAGTATTTATTATCGAGTCGTTTCAACCGAAAAGTGACAAATACTTTCTGTTCTTTCATTATTTATCCCTTTCTGAGCCTCACGTTACATTTCATGGTAGAATGATTTCGCAGTTGAGAGACGACCTGAGTAGTATTCACACGTGCGTCTTGCTATGATACTCTGAGCGTAAAACAATCACGTGTTTGTTTAGACCACATCGTCAAAACAATGTCTATGGCGTAGAGGACTGCGATATTATTAAATGTAGTGTAAAGGAAATGCGAAACGTGGGCTATTCCTGGTGAAAGTATGCATCGGCGGATGGTTCTTCCGTTGAAATTTATTTGTAATAAAGTTTATGACTTTCTAGGCGTTTTTTTTTTCATCCTGCTTATTTTCAATGCCTGTGAAGTGTCCAGCAAGAGAACTGCGCCTTCTATCATCACAATTAATTAAAATAATTATTCAATATTCTAATTTATATATTTTGCATATTAATATAAATCAAACCAAATTATGAAATAGATGCCAATTGGTATGTATAATAATTGATTTTTGTAATATGTTGTTATGTTAATTTAATGTCATTGTATATGTTTTTGAACTGCCATGTAGTTCCCCCCATTTTGTTTTGTTACTATGATTTTGATAGTTGTTTCATGTACATTGGTTAGAGCCTCGTTATCAATTGCGATCTGGGTCGGACTAAACGTCCGCTACTTATTGCTTGATAGATATCTAAAACGGTATAAAAGTATCCGTGTATCAGAAATGATCAGTACTCTTTCTGTACATTTCTTATACACGGATACTTTTAAGCATGTATTGCAATTAAACAGGACAGTTTTATCAAAGGTTGCCAGTGGCAACGAGTAGAAGTGGGATGTAATAAATATTACACAGACTCACAGAGGTTGAACAACGGATTACATGTCATTTGGGACTCAAAAAAATATGACCACGACATTTGGGACTCGGGATAATTTATTAGAAATAGGCCAATTCAAAACACGAAAGAAAATATTTATTAACATGAAACATGTGGTTAGTAAAAGGCTCAACCAAACGATAAAACATTAGTTGCACTTACGGTTCTTTGATAATCATCGTTTCTCATAAAAGTTTTATATTTATTTAAAACGAATAATATGCTGATGAATATGAAAATGACCTACACAAAAAACAAAATAAATATTTACACGACATGCAATCTTTTTTTACAAGCCCCCAGAAATTGTTAACGATAATCCGCGAGCTGCACGTTGACATGCTTGTCGTAGATGGCAATACCAATTGATAAATTAGTGCGTACAAGGCAAAGTTTTTTTGTGGAAAATATAAGAAATGGCAATGAACAAAGCGGGATAATTAAAGCTGATAATCCCAATGTTATTACAGTATGTTCAAAGAAACCTAACGGTTCTTTGGTGGATGAGGAAAAACGCGAGTTGTCAATCATCGAGAATGGCGGCCGTGTGTTGATTGCAGTTATACCGTTTCACGAAAAAAACATTAGCAGTGGTCGGTCAATCAAGCTCGTTTACTATTTATAACGCAAATTTGCCTTATATCACTGCTAACTATAAGGCATAGGGAGCCTTGGGCAGAAATGATAATAATATGGTTCTCAGATATGTTACTGTGTACAGACTGAACAAAAAATATATATACACTTGCTATTACATGTACATTATATCATTGGCAATAATAAGATCCAATTTTAGTTTTTAGTTACACACTGTTAACCATCAATAGATGACAATAAATCATAAAATGTATTCAGCTCGACGTAAGACTTAAATAAATAGATACAGTTGGTTTAACTTGAATAGAAGTTTTAATTATCTATGCTGCATGTATGCATATATCACCTTGCAGCTGAATCACACTACGTACATATCTTTTTAGTTGATGTTCATATCGTCTTACGTATTTGTCAACATCAATGTGACCTTGTTCTATGTCACATTAGCCTTTTCAGACTTGTTACCACGAATTTACTCACCACACCCTCGCATAGTTATAAATTTATTGTTTCACTTGACTAAAGAAACATTTTGTAGGAATGTATGCTTTTATAGATTGGACACTTGTTTGCAATATCATTGTCGGTGGAAACTGACACTATACCTAAAGAATGACTGAACAAATAGCGAAGACGGGGTTTCAGCCGGCTGATTTAAATTATTTCTTTAAATACAGTAAAGCTTGAAATATGTCAGTTTTCACTCTGTAGAATGTTTTTGTAAATAAGTTTTTATTGTAGTTTCCGTGGCGTATTCCAAATAAGCGTTAGAAACAAAGATATACACCCTTAATCCCGGTGCCGATAAATGTTGGGTTGTGTGGAACATGCTAACAAATCTCGGGTACGACATATGTTTGATTCTGGTTGAGAACAGCATGAGAGCAACATGATTGTTTTCATTGGAGATGAGACGCAAATATTCAAAGGGGTCAGACAAACTCTAAACCAACCGCGTTCCCTTCACTGACTCCCTTCAAAGGAGGCCCTGTCTGTCTGCCTGTGGAATAACATGCATTTGTATCTGTTAAATTTGTGTGGTAGACAGATTGATATTATTTATATAACGTCTTACCCCAAACAAATTGCAAAAGAAACCATGAAGTTTCTGAGAGCGATATTTCGTAATTAGTGTGCTTTAATGGTGGGAGAATAAATAATTTCTTTTTAAATTTTTCAAACACAAACTGGTCATATATAAAATAGCATTTTCTGACAAGACCAGCGATAATCTCGTAAGATATGACTTTTACTATGTCTATTAAATGGTTTTCGACGTCTCTTCAAGGTCACCGTCTTGCGCCAAAGTCGTGAAACGCACCGTCGGGGGATTTGTTGGGGCCTGTCTCCCCCAGAAAAATTTCTAGAAATTTCAAGTCGGTCTTGCCTGGCCGTGAATACGGCAACCTGAAAGTGGTCGATTTTAATGTAGACATCTGATCTCCAATCAACAAATCAATCAACCAGGCTGTTGTCGTTGCATTCACATGACACCAGACGTGTCACCGATGAAATAAATATGCCTGAAACAAATGTCGCTGTTAGTGCGACCCATTTGTGACAATTTCAAGGTCCCAAATAATAGTCCTTTATTACTATTAATAGTAATACAATCAGTAAGTGCTATTTACCTTATAATAGTCGTCTTGGCTTTTACCCGACATTACACAAAACACCAATGGTAACTGTCGGGTGGTCTCTCCAGTCTTAATGAAGGCGTGAATGGAAAACAGCTGAGATCATGGCTTGTTCACCACCCAAAAGGTTGCATCCATATACCAAGTTTTTGCGCGTGCGAGTAGTTGCATCTGTCTATCAGTACAAAAAATGTGATGGCGCCTTTCCCCAACTTTTACTCTTTTTTGATAAAATCCCGGTGCACTATGATCGATGAAATCTTCGTCAAGCTAAAACAAAAAATAAATAAAAAAGTACATTTAATTACATGTTAATAAATAAATAAAATTGTACATTTAATTACATGTTAATAAATTCTTATATACATGGGTATTTAATTGCATGAGTACTTACGCTTGACGACACGTCAGTGGGTTCTTTTGGTCGCAGAGTCTGTCGGGTTCTTTGTAGCGACTTTACAAGTGCTGCCATGGGTGGTCTGCTATGAATGGGTTCTTCTGCAGAACCGACACTGGATAAAACTCTCTCCGCTATTGAGGAACATGACTTGGTAAAAACATTTCCTTTGGCTTCATGCTTTGCCTGTAATGATAAGATAAAACATATTAAACTACAAATATATTATTGGTTTATTTATATTTTATTTATTTACACACATATATAAATTTTTAATTTAATTGATATATAATTTTTAAACCTACTGTAACTTTTATCTTGGTAGCCGTGTGTATACCGGGTTCTGCTGGGTGAAGATGGTTCTTTAAGCCTGGTTGGTATGTATCACCATCTTGGATTACTGTTGCCGGACATCATGTTGGTCCGCTTCTTTTGGAACACCTCCAAATCGTAGTTTTCTTCTCTGTCTAAAATATATTAAATTCATTTATTATTATAGAGTTAACTAGGTTAACTAGAGTTAATTATCTTTACATTTTGTAGCTGAAATACATTTCTATACAAGGTAGTTAACTAGGTAAAATAAATCACCCTACCTTAATTGTATAACTAAACCCTTGGTTGTCAAACAACTTGGACTTGCCACGGGAGGTACCAGCTTCTACCTGCGTATACACCACTACGGGTTCTTCGTCGCAGAAGACACTAACGTCGGCATCGTCTGAGATGAAGGACTCCATGACCGGAACTGGCACATCGTATCGGGTTTCGGCTGTAAACGATTCTTCTACTTCCATAGGTTCAGTTGTTGGGACCTCCATAACTTCTTCTTGTTGTTTGTCCATATCTTCCGTCTGCTTATTAGATTTAAGGTTGTTTTTTTAAACATAAATTAGATTACAATTCAACTAACACAAAAGTGTAAAAAGATTTTTTTCTAGTCTGTGCCCGCGTTTATGTCTACTCTTGGCAAAATCGTTATAATATAAAAAAAAATCATGAAACAAGAATCAAAATGGCCGCCAATCGAGTCTCCAACGCCAATCCAACCTCCCAAGATGTAATTTCAAAACAGATTCTTACCTGCTGGTTCAAGTCGAGCCGTTTCTGCTTTAATCATAATGTGATTCTGTAATGTAAGTATTTGAACAACATCGTAGCGCCGAACAACTAATGTTAATTAAGCATGATTTCAGAAAAATTGAACAGATTTGATAATAACATGCCGAAATTTTTTTCCTGACCGCGCCATATTTATATTATAAACATGAACTTCCGGTTTAAATTGTTGGAGTTTTTTTTAAGGAAACGAAATACATGGTATTATTTTTTTTATATAAATATTCACAAACCCGCGGTCTTGTATTCTATGTGACCATTAGCTTACATTTGTCAAACATATCACTGCTCCAAAATCATTTCAGCACGTTGTTAAATGTTTAATTAATTGTGTGAAATCACTTCATTTAATGTCCGCTTCCACCGAGATGATATCGCAGACAAAATGTAGCCTATAGTACGTTGATTTTATCAACCAATCACATTCAATAACCGTTTTACTTATTTTCTTGTCAACGCATTTGGAGTCAATTGTTAAAATCACACCGGGCATGAGCGCTCAACGGGCCTTTGATCTACCAGTTTATTGGGCCCAACTTTATTTTAACTACAGACATCTTAACACCAATTAGCATTCAAGTCTGTCTGGCTATATTGTCTGAGTAAAAAATACCTTTCTCTTACTTGTGGACCCCCGGATTAAGACTTTGTATGGAGTTCAAATTTAAAAAAAAAAATATTTGTTGACGGTACACATTACTTGTGTTAATTATATGGAAAAAACACAAGATTAATTGTGTGAAATCACTTCATTTAATGTCCGCTTCCACCGAGATGATATCGCAGACAAAATGTAGCCTATAGTACGTTGATTTTATCAACCAATCACATTCAATAACAGTTTTACTTATTTTCTTGTCAACGCATTTGGAGTCAATTGTTAACATTAATTAACTTATCCAGACTATAAACAACTTCATCGCTAGCCTGTGATATTTACTGGATTGGAATCCGATGTGCTGCTCAACGCTCATTGATGAATATATCAAAAACTGGATAATCGAGACTATGTTTCTTTTTCGTACCGACTTTAGTAATGATGATCAAGACTAGGCCTAAAATTCAATCGCTTAATTCTCGGTTCAGAGTTGATCATTTTGACTGAAATTTTCAGCAAATTCACTTTACATTATCTAGTTTTTAACTATTATAGTGCGAACTACCAGCTCTTTATCTAATCTCCCATATTATCTTTAATAAAACAAATTCGACGTCAAATAATTATTACTTATGTTTCTTGTAGATTAAAGGGTGACAGTTCTCGCTATAATAGTTACTAAAATAGATAATGAAAACAGAATATGCCGAAAATTTCAGTAAAATTTGTTAGCCTCAATCGTCATAACTACCGTTGGTACGATAATAAACCAAGTTTCGATTATCCAATTTTTACGTTAAATCATCCACCACAAAAAATATTCAAACGCACTAAATATCACAGGCTAACGATGGCAACGAGAGTTGATTATGAATTTGATAAGTTAATTAATGTCTAATCAAGACCCACAATAGACAGATTTAGCTCTTGCATAATGCATGTTTAAAGCTCCTGTTAGTGCTACAACCCCCCCCCCCCCAACACCCCGCCAGCAGAAGAAGTCCATATACGTCAAGAATATAACCATGACAGCGCACGTTCTCACAACGATAAATTAGGAACCAAAGTAAATATCTCTACAACTATTTGTTGTCATAGCAAAACGATAATTTTTCATAGTCTACTATATATAAACAGACATCGCACGCTCTCCTTTCGATGAGATTTACCTTGGGCATTTCCCTGCAAAGACACTGTGTCTTACAAAAATCAAACTGGATCAAGCCTCTAGTAAATTTCTTAGGAAACATTTGTCTACGATATCACCCATGGTGGAAGTGGACGTATAACTCTAGAGACGAACGAACGAACAATGGCAATTAGTCTGCGATATCACTTCACAGTGGACGCGGATGTTAAATAAATTCTTATCATACACAATGTCTTTTAATATTTGATCGAACTTGGAATACACATGGCAGAATTCTATAGAATAAAATTTACCGTGTATTAGGTCGCTCAGTTATAAATAATAACTCTATTCCATTGAATGAATGGGGGTCAAGGTGGCTAAGTGCATAAGACTCTGGCTCGCTAGCTTGGAGGTCGGGTGTTCGATCCCTGCATTGGCCGAAATTGTTTATCTATATTTTCCGGCGTGGTTCCCCCTTGTCAGTGATGCAGGACAAGGACAGCCTGACAAGGACAGCTGTCTAGTCGTTTGGATGGGACGAAAAACCGAGGTCCCGTGTACACATTGGCGTGTACGTAAAAGATCCCTTCGCAGACGGAATTCGATATAAGAGTAGGCCGTAGTGCCGCTGTCCGGGCAAAATTTCCCTCATAACACACTGTATGGCGTATGCCCTTTTTCATTAACCCAGTTTGGAGGAGAACAGTAGGACGTTAAACCCCATTTCTTTTCATTTCATTTCCATTGAATGAATGGATGAAATGGGGTTTAACATCCTACTGTTCTAACCCATAGAATTGTGTGTAGTATATAAATAAACGATATCAAATGGTGATATTTGAGCATTTTGTGAAAACTATAAATAGATTATAAATTACAATGTGAATATTACCTTCAGAGACACGATATAACTCGTCAACAAAATACATAGGTCAATTCTCGTGTCATCTAAAAGACCTTACATTATCTAGTTTTTAACTATTATAGTGCGAACTACCAGCTCTTTATCTAATCTCCCATATTATCTTTAATAAACCAAATTCGACGTCAAATAATTATTACTTATGTTTCTTGTAGATTAAAGGGTGACAGTTCTCGCTATAATAGTTACTAAAATAGATAATGAAAACAGAATATGCCGAAACTTTCAGTAAAAGTTGTTAGCCTCAATCGTCATAACTACCGTTGATACGATAATAAACCAAGTTTCGATTATCCATTTTTACGTTAAATCATCCATCACAAAAAATATTCAAACGCACTAAATATCACAGGCTAACGATGGCAACGAGAGTTGGTTATGAATTTGATAAGTTAATTAATGTCTAATCAAGACCCACAATAGACAGATTTAGCTCTTGCATAATGCATGTTTAAAGCTCCTGTTAGTGCTACAACCCGCCCCCCCCCCCCCCAACACCCCGCCAGCAGAAGAAGTCCATATACGTCAAGAATATAACCATGACAGCGCACGTTCTCACAACGATAAATTAGGAACCAAAGTAAATATCTCTACAACTATTTGTTGTCATAGCAAAACGATAATTTTTCATAGTCTACTATATATAAACAGACATCGCACGCTCTCCTTTCGATGAGATTTACCTTGGGCATTTCCCTGCAAAGACACTGTGTCTTACAAAAATCAAACTGGATCAAGCCTCTAGTAAATGTCTTAGGAAACATTTGTCTACGATATCACCCATGGTGGAAGTGGACGTAAAACTCTAGAGACGAACGAACGAACAATGGCAATTAGTCTGCGATATCACTTCACAGTGGACGCGGATGTTAAATAAATTCTTATCATACACAATGTCTTTTAATATTTGATCGAGCTTGGAATACACATGGCAGAATTCTATAGAATAAAATTTACCGTGTATTAGGTCGCTCAGTTATAAATAGTAACTCTATTCCATTGAATGAATGGGGGTCACGGTGGCTAAGTGCGTAAGACTCTGGCTCGCTAGCTTGGAGGTCGGGTGTTCGATCCCTGCATTGGCCGAAATTGTTTATCTATATTTTCCGGCGTGGTTCCCCCTTGTCAGTGATGCAGGACAAGGACAGCCTGACAAGGACAGCTGTCTAGTCGTTCGGATGGGACGACAAACCGAGGTCCCGTGTACACATTGGCGTGTACGTAAAAGATCCCTTCGCAGACGGAATTCGATATAAGAGTAGGCCGTAGTGCCGCTGTCCGTGCAAAATTTCCCTCATAACACACTGTATGGCGTATGCCCGTTTTCATTAATCCAGTTTGGAGGAGAACAGTAGGACGTTAAACCCCATTTCTTTTCATTTCATTTCCATTAAATGAATGGATGAAATGGGGTTTAACATCCTACTGTTCTAACCCATAGAATTGTGTGTAGTATATAAATAAACGATATCAAATGGTGATATTTGAGCATTTTGTGAAAACTATAAATAGATTATAAATTAAGATGTGAATATTACCTTCAGAGACACGATATAACTCGTCAACAAAATACATAGGTCAATTCTCGTGTCATCTAAAAGACCTTACGGGTCAGTGAGACAAGTAGCAACCGAGCTTTAAAATCCTGAGAATCCTCGAACCCAGGTCATTCGAGAGTCCACCTCGTATTGCATCGCCAAGATTTCAAACGTATGAACGTAAAAGGGGAGATAACTAGCCCGAGTCGGCTCTTCCTTATTTCCTTAATACCGACCCAGCCATATAATTAATGGTTAATCCGTCTTTAAACGTTACTATGAATTAATAATTTTATATTCAGATAATAATAACCCGAAAATTGGGTCAATCCCAAAGGAAACATTACATGTATAAACAGATTCTGTTCTTAACTGAACCCTGATAAGCTTATTTTGTATGGAAGCGTATTTGGGTCACTACTTATTGAGATAATATCGCAACACATCGAACTAAAATATGTCAACTTCATGAGTTATATTACAAAAAATCGACTTAATAAGTCGACTCGACGCGTTAAGTTCACCTCTAAACGACAAAAACTATGTCGATATGTTTACATCATGCCAATAGTCGATTTGACTCTAAATCAACAAGTCATATTTTAATGCAATATAAAGACTTAATTAATAATGTCGCCGTTTTCAGTTATGTACCACGTGCTTAATTTCATTGCCCGAGATTGCTAAAGACCCCTAAAATTAAACCATATGTTAGTCCCGAAATGACCTAGTTTGTGTCGAGTGGATGTTAAACCCCATCATTGGCTGCACTTTCATGAATAAGCAATCTCGGGCAATGAAATTAAGCACGAGGTACATACTTGAAAACGGCGACATTATTAAGTCTATATATTGCATTAAAATATGACTTGTTGATTTAGAGTCAAATCGACTATTGGCATGATGTAAACATATCGACATAGTTTGTGTCGTTTAGAGGTGAATTTAATGCGTCGAGTCGACTTATTTAGTCGATTTTTTGTAATATAACTCATGAAGTTGACATATTTTAGTTCGATGTGTTGCGATATTATCTCAATAAGTAGTGACCCAAATACGCTTCCATATATTTTGTTATATCAATGTGGCGTTTTATCAATTTTGACTTTATATCAATGTGACGTTATATCCAAGTGACGACATTATATCAATTTTGACATTATATCAATGTGGCGTTATATCCACGTGACGATATTATATTAATTTTGACCTTATATAAATGTGACGTTATACCAATGTGGCGTTATATCAATTTTGACGTCATATCAATGTGGCGTGATATCATTTTTGACGTAGCATCAGTTTTGACGTTATATCAATGTGGCGTTATTAATTGTGATGCTCTATCAATTAGGAGATAAACACCGACTGTTTAGAATTTAGAGGACTGTTATTGTCCATTTGATACCGCTTAAATTTTTCATTAGAGGCGCTCGATCATAACAGTCCGATAAATTCTAAACAGGAGGTGTTTATCGAAATTGTAGCCCAAAATATTTAACATTTTTCTAGGAATTCTTTCTTTCGCGATAGTTGACGGTCGTTTTTTGGTTTTAATGACGTAAATACCAAGGAAAATTTTTTGACGTAATGAAAATATCCGTGACGTAATAAGATAAACACTCATTTCCATTCTATTTGGTTCACACAGCGACTGGTTAATTGTGTCTATTTGGAAAGGGAGGTCACTCTGCGATAATTTCAAAGATCGAAACAGAAATCGTAAGTGTATTTTATGTACTTTTTAAATGATTTTAAACTCCAGCGGTGACTAGGTTCGAAATAAATTGCATATCATGTTTGATAAATGTCCATATACCCGTGTGACCGTGTAGATATATGCTGTGTACTGTACGCATGTGGTTGCTATGCTTGTTTACGTTGTCATTTCGACGCTGTGAATGAATGTGATGTTTTTTCTTCGCAAAAAACCCTGGCCTGTGCATCTGTATGAAAATTAGTCTCTGTCCTATTCATATCAGTATCAGCCTGACTTGTATATTATTAAAAATATATTACGGTCCATACGGAGTTCAATAAATTGTAGTATTTTTATTCACTTGTTGAAAATCTTCGATTTTGACCAGTCTAATTATGATAGACTGATAGAGTGACCATAGCAACCATTATTGTCAGACCAGCCTTGAAATTAAATTTACTTATTATCTTTCAAATACACTCCCTAACTTTGTTTTGTGTGTTTCAGGTGTGTGTTTCAATAAGCCAATGGTTGAATTTCATTGTTGATGATATACAAGAACAAATTCATGAAGATTTCCTAGAATAAAGTTTTGAGGTGTAGAATTTTTGGCCACTGCAAACAGAGTCTAGCACCCAGAAAATATTCATTTGCAGTGAGTCGCCCAGGAAATTTAGAGGACTGTTATACTCATTCGACGCCACTTTTCGACCAATCAGAATCCAAGAAATTTCCATTTTGGGCTACAATGTGGGTTATATTATATCAATTTTAACGTTATAACAATTCTGACATTATTTCAGTATTGGGGTTCTATCAATTTTGACGTTATATCAATATGCCGTTATATCAATGTGGCGTTATATCAGTTTGGATGTCTTATTGCTGTTGTCCTTACATTCAAGGGTGTCAATCTAATGTTTAACTTCAAGCTTGAATATGGTTGGAATTATTGATATACAATTTGAAATATCAGTAATTATAGGTGAATCGTTGTTACCATGTGCACAGTTCTAATCTACAAACGTGTTTGTTCATCCCTAGAAGCATAATTATCATCCTTTCGATTCTGTAAAAGTTTTGTTTTGGAATAAAGAAATTCCGATCCCACATAACCAAGGAAACCAATTACAACCAATGCCACAGCGATAAATAGTCTAATTCTCAGGCACATGAAAACACCAGTGATAAAAGTAGCAGCAAAACCCAATGCCTTTGATGTATAATAGTTGGCAAAAGCTGAGTCAATCTTTTCTTGAAATAAAATACTTATCAAAGCTGAAAATAAATAAACAGAAATGAATAAATAAATAGAAATAAATAAATGAATAAATAAATATAAATTTATAAATAGAAATAAATAAATAAATAAATAGATGAATAAATAAATAGAAATAAATGAATAAATAAATAGAAATAAATGAATAAATAAATAGAAATACATAGATAGAAATAAATAAATAGAAATAAATAAATAAATATAAAAAAATAAATAGAAATAAATAAATATGAAAAAATAAATAGAAATAAATAAATAGAAATAAATGAATAAATAAATAGAAATGAATAAATAGAAATAAATAAATAGAAATAAATAAATAAATAAATAAATAGAAATGAATAAATAGAAATGAATAAATAGAAATGAATAAATAAAAAGAAATGAATAAAAAAATGAAAAGTTTGTTATAGCAAGTCGTTATCACCACTTTTATCATAGACATTACCAATTCATGACCTCCCATGGCATAGATACAAGAATGTTACCAAATCGTTGGTATATTTTGATGTGTATGTTTTAGAAATAAAATGAAATTGGGTTTAACGTTCTACTGTTCTGCTCCTATACTGGGCTAATGAAGACGGGCAAGGGATCTTTTACGTGCATTCCAATGTATACACGGGACCTCGGTTTTTCGTCTCATCCGAAGGACTAGACAGCTGTCCTTGTCAGGCCCTCCGTTCTGCACCACTGACAAGGGGAAACCACGTCGTAAAGTGCATGTTTTAGTAATTAAATTTAAGATCGTATTAGTATATTTATACAATAGGATGCCGGTGGCGATATATGGCAGCATATCATTGCCTAGCTACAAATGTCGTACTGTTAAACTGCGTTTAACGCTACAAATGATGCAGTCTAAAACTCCTTACGCATGTACAAATAGGTTCAAACGCACAATTGCCAACACATGGCATAACAGTTTGAATTGGCATAGGTAATTCTATCACAAATAGTGAAGACTGGACCACTAAACTACTTATTGAACAGTTTTTCTTTGTGGTAATGCGTTCTACATTTTCAAAGCGACATTTCTTTTAATGTAAGCCCCCATGACACCAGCCAGATGGAATCTCGCCAAATTTCGCGTAACAGTTGGGTTTCATCAAATCATATAACAATGCGGTAAGACTTCACCTTTATTTCACTGGGAATTGGTTTATTATATGTTAAGCTATGCGCAGTACAGTTTGGGGTCATTTTATGTTTAAATTAAGGGGGCTATAGGACAGTAAACATTTTGTAGTCATTTGACTAAAAAACTTGCGCAAAGGAACTCCGTAGGACGAGCCACTACTGTGGCTGGAGTAAGGCGGAAGACATCAGTAGTTGGACCATTTCTAATCCGAGCCAGGCTATATGTACGACACGGGTTTAGCAAATTGATTTTTTAATAATGAAATTTAAAATGTTCTTTTTTTGTCATTTAAGAAGGGGTGTAACAGCTCAAGCGGTGCAAAATCTCTAAACCCTTGGCTCAATTAAATGAAACTGAATCCATACTCACAGTTAAACTGAGCCTGATAAATGGCCTCCGAAAGGGCTCCGATGCTTGGAATTATAAAAAATAGATATAGTTGATGTTCATTTGGTTTCCAAAAATAAAAGACTAATAACATTGTCATATCTGCACACATCGCCAGAATAAACAAAAAATATCGTCCGGTATATTGAGCTAGATGTCCAATCAGTATAGCAAAGATGGCCGTACTTCCGCCGTAACATGCCATTATGAAACCGACCATTGAAACACCTAATGAGCAGCTGATGTACGCCTGTAAAGAAATATTTTTTCTAAAAGGGATCATCTCTACTTTAAATAACACACCAGATCAACCGAATACGTCCGTTTGTTCTTAAGGCTTAGCGCCCGCATCCACCTAAAATGATATCGCAGACGAGAATGTGAACCTTTATTTAGACCTATATCAAGGATGTTAGCCCCTTTACACCCACAGGAGCTAACATGTTTGATATAGGTCTAAATAGCTCCTTTACACCCACACTTGTCTTCGATATCCCCTCGGTGGAAGCGGACGTTAAATAAAGCTATTTCACACATACTTTACACCCACACACGTATCGTCAGCATTAAATAACAAGTTTTTAAAGCACCACCTCTACACTCCCAATGATATAGCTTCCATTATTCCATGGTCTATTAGAATAAAGATGCGGTATTTTATAGTCTGATCGAAATAATTGAAATTAGAATCATCCTGCGACCACGCACATAAACGGAATTATATTGACAATAATAAATGTCTTTGTACATATACTCTTCAAAAAAAGTAGGGATATTCAGAAACAATGAGTAATTGCTCCACCAATCATCAGACATTCGGAAATACGTCGTGGCATGCTCCTAATCAATCGTCCAATCTGACCCACTCCTCTTGCAGTGCCACGGCCAATTCTTGCAGTATTGTCGGTGGACGTTGGCGTCGACGAACACGCCTCTAGATCAAATTAAAAGTAACACACTAAAGCAAAATACACTAAACAGTAAATCTTACGCAAGAACCGATAGGAAAGCATACATGGCTAGGATAAACCAACAAGCGACAGTTTTCAGTAACCCTTCCTTCAAGCGTAAAATTTGACAATGAACCCCTCCCACGTGTATGGCGCTATTGCGTGTCGCACATGCAGCTCAGTGGTTCTGTTGGGGCGATAGATTCTTCATCTGTGAACACACTCTCAAAGCATGTCAAGTGTCCATGACTATTTATCATATCACAACCTGCATAGGCATTTGCATTTCAATATCCCCTACTTTTTTGAAGAGTAAATAACATTATTTTATGATTCAATGGAACATCATTGGAGCATTTCGGAACCCGTATGACATTAATGAAAATTGAATGTAAAGCGATATTCCGATATAATTATCTGTTGAAAAAGGGTCACATACCTTAGTATATTCTGTCAATAGCAATCCTTGATTCATGGCCTGGGAAAAAAATAAAGGGATGAGAAGCATCATCTTTTTATCCGCTAAAGTTGTGCAGCAAGAAACAAGTGATTTCGACAGAGTTTGTTCATTCGATTTTCGAGGTTTTAAGTTTGGCAAAAGAAAAACTGTCAAACAAAGTCCAAATATATCACAAAGCAAAAAGATTCCCAACAAAATATACACTACGCTTTTTTCAGGTTGTTCAATAATGGTGGCGTTTGCTGTTACTGGACAATCGTCAGCACCACAAATTCTAGTGACGTTGTTCGCATTATCGGCATTTGAACTTTGGCGTAACACCAATGACGAAATTAAATTTCCAGTCACATGAGTTGATTCTAAACACATAAAAAAGATTCCATTAAGCTTACTTAAAGCAGAATGCATGCCTTCATTTTTTATACGCGAATATGCATCGCTATTCGCTGCTAAATATAGACCCTGCGACGTCCATATGGGTCCGGTAGCTCCTCCTAACAACATGGACGAGGGAATCAAAGTCCCCCAAGTTGGATAAAAATTGCTTGCTACATACAGTGTATGAACGATCCAGCCAATAACCAAAGAACGTTTGGCGCCAAGAATCTTGATATAAGATGCGGCCGAAATTCCGGACACGACAAAAGCGCCATACAGACACGCCAGGGAAATAATGCCCAATCCAGCTTCTTGGTTCAAGCTGCTCTGAAGACTCTGTATGGCCATATACGATGTGAAAATAGCCATGAAGGAAAAGGAAATTACAAAAGTATCCCTTAAAGGCCGTTCTGGAAGTTTGTTCTCCTTGTCATCCATTGTAAATTATATTAAATTAAGAAAAAAAACGGCGGATGTAACAGAATCTTTCCTAAAATTTCTGTCGAAATTACGAACTCTCCGGATTACGGATGATCTGAAAGTGTGGTTCCACTGTACGGGGGTCTATGTTCGTCTTTAATCTCAGTATTACTGTTTCAACTAAAAAACAAAATTTTGAAAAATAATTATTAAACACAGAAAAAGACAACGAATTCACCCAGTCATATGTGAAATGACAAAGGACAACTTCAAATTAGACATTGCAACTTGAGTAACAATACCGGAAATGTCGAAGGGCAACTTCAAATTAGACACTACAACGTGAGTAACAGTACCGGAAATTAAATGACGTTTAACGTCCTATGTTTCTACACCGACTAGGGTTTAAATGAAATGGGGTTTAACGTCCTATTGTTCTGCTCCTATACTGGGCTAATGAAGACGGGCATACGCCATACAGTGTGCTATGAGGGGAAATTTTGCCCGGGCAGCGGCACTATCGCCTACTCTTATATCGAATTCCAACTGCCAAGGGATTTTTTACGTGCATTCCAATGTATACACGGGACCTCGGTTTTTCGTATCATCCGAAGGACTAGACAGCTGTCCTTGTCAGGCCCTCCGTTCTGAACCACTGACAAGGGGAAGCCAGACTAGGGTTTAAAAGGGCCAACACACCTCTTGGCCAGTGAACCAGTATCATACCCACGAAACCATCATTTATTCTTATACAGCGCATTACAAAATATAACTAATATCTAAACGCGCTTTACAATGTTGTGGGTAGTAGCTGAAGTGAATTACTTCTTCATTGCTAAACATTTAAAAATTAATGGTATGACTCTTTAAATAACTCATATTTTTCAATATTTCTCATTGTAGCGGGTAATTCATTCCAAGCATTCCGTGCGCTGTATATAAATCCCCTATCCCCATTTTTGTTGGACTTCATAGATTGAAAGTTGGGTCTGACAGCCTCTGATGATCTTGTTAAGCGTTTCGGTGTTAGCATACACAGGAGCTGAAGGATCGAAAATTCATTGAAAGGTTAAACATACAATTTTAAACCAACATCTTTATGCAATGGGAAGCCAGTATAGGTCGCGAAGAACGCTGTGATATGTTCAGCGTGCTGCATAATTTTGAATTCTTTGTATTTTCCTTAGTGCTGTGTCAGGACGTCAATATAATAGACTATTACATAAATCTAATCTAGAGGTCACGAAAGCACGAACCAATTTCTTAGTAGTAGACTGATTGAAGGGTTTTCGAATTCTCCCTATTCGCCATAAGCCAAACGAAGCCGCATTGCACACACTGGAAATTTGTGATACCATCATTCTATCTGTATCAAGCATCCTAAGTCACACACTGAATCCCAGGGACTGATCTCTGTGGCACCAATTCGTAATCGTACATCTATGGTGCTGACTCACATATCCGCCTTGTACTTTGACGAAAACTAGACAACCTTACTTTCCCCGTCATTTGATGTAAAATTTTAGTTGATAGAAATGAGTTTGACACCCATGCTCTAGATTATTTTTATCGCCACAAATCACTGACTTATTTTGATTACGGTAATTTTTGCCACTGGCGTAAAACTATTTGAAAACCACTAAAACACGTAAAAGACAATTTTCATACATACCGATAAGGTCTTTAGAATTACTCTAAAAATAATAAGTGTTGATGGTCAGTGCAATCCCATAACATTCCTTTCTAAACCAGAAAATAGTCAATTATATAACATTCCTTTCCAAACCAGAAATTGGTCAATCACATAACATTCCTTTCCAAACCAGAAAATAGTCAATCATATAACATTCCTTTCCAAACCAGAAAATAGTCAATCATATAATATTCCTTTCGAACCAGAAATCAGTCCAAACTAAAGTACACCACACCTAATCTGTTTGTATAAGACGTTACACGGGATCTTGCTAACTTCCTGTCACAATGTCAATAAAACAGTTAACTGTAAGATACGTTTCTTTCTTGTGATCAGTTTACACTCGTAATTTTCTTTTCTTTAAAGATGCATTATGAGAGAGAGAGAGAGAGAGAGGGGGGGAGAGATAGAGAGAGAGAGAGGTGGGGTTTAACGTCCACTCGACACAACCTAGGTCATTTCTGGACTAATACATGGTTCAATTTAATTTCAAGCATTCGCTTGCGCGAAGGGGTCTTAGCAGTGGGAGGAAACCGGAGTACCCGGAGAAAACCCACGACATTAGACAGGCGACCCTACTCCTTGTCACGTAAACCGGGGAATCTAAACCACGCCAGTTGACTCAATCACAGACCTTATGATACAGCGCGCACGTACTAACCACTCGGCCATCCAAACCCCCGCATTATGTAAAAGTTAAATCTGCTTATTGCAGGTCTTTTTTCTGTCTGCAAACTGTGTGTACATTATAATTCACATCTCAAACCCGTAATCAACTCTCCAGACCATCGAATGGATTTGAACACGCGCGAGATTTAAAAATTTAAATTCGCCCAAAATAAAGCAGGCTAATTTGAATGAAATTTTCAATATATTCGTTTTCATGGATCTATTTTTGAACTTATATTATAGAAAGAAAAAACAGCTATTTATCTTAATCCTACATAATGCATGTTTAAAATAAAAGAGCAAAAACCGAAAAGAAAAAAAAAAGGCGAATACTCCCCGATATATAAAAAGTAGATTTTTTAATATTGAATTACGTGATTAATGAATATAGACCTGTTATAATTCTATTTTTTTATACATATTTTCCAGCCGCCTACAATATGGGTCATTTCCTCCAGTTTAATCCTTGTCACGGACTGGGTCGTGTCATATACAGTTTGATTTACATGACAACGTATAAATTATCTTTTGTAGATAAAAAACAGCGAGTAACAAATGAAATGGCGTTAAACATCCTATTATTCTACTCTTCTCCGGCTAATGATATGTTATCATGCAGGACATTTTGCACAGACAGAGGCGCTACAGGCTACTCTTATTCAGAATTCCAATTGTCATGGGTTCTTTATGTGAACACGCCCCATCCGAACGACTAGACAATGTTCCTTACTACACCTTATTCCGACCCGCACCACTGACAAGAGGCAACCACACTGAACATCTCGGGACTTCCTGGTAAAGCCAAGCACACAGCCTGTAGTACGTGTTTTGACACGCAAGAAACCGGGCTACATCCAGGCTGCGATCTTCTACGGTTTGGAACACACGCAAGCGACGCGTAAGTCTCATGCATGGGTTATTAAAAACAAAATCCCCAGTAGACTGCCTGTAGAAGCACACACGACGGGTTGTTAACTTATATACATGGCTTCAGTGAGCCAGCGACTTTGCTGTGTGTCCCACAGTAGCTCCCATAAACTTTGACAACACGACCAACATAAGATACGGTAAAATATTGTGTTCACTCAACACAGGAACGTAGCTATCCACAATCCTCATATAATTTGAATGAAATTGATTCTAAACCTTCTATTCCCCAACACTTTTGACATATGTTAAGACAGTTTTTAAAACATTCAGACGAAAAGAATTTTCGAACAATAACCTACCGCATATGACTCGCCCTTATTCAGATACACGTTGTACAACACACACAGCATATGATATTTTTAATTCAGCTATGAAATAAATGATTTAAAAATAAAACATCCGGGTGTTAATCTACATGTTTAGAATACGTTTTGTAAACTAAACACAGGATAATTTATGATGGTCATCACTTCTCCGCAGTGTACATAATTCTAAAGGTAATGGCGAATATATCAATGCATTAACACAACACAGTTTTTATGGAATACAATCACTAGTTTTATTCTAAAAGCACGACGTTTCGACAAGTATCCTCTTATCGTTATCAAGCACAATGACATTTGAAGACAAATATATAAGAGTGTGTAATAATTTAACCTTTCTCATAAGATACAGAGACAGTGACATTGTGCCACAAGGATTATTTTTTGTTACTGTTATTTTAATCCATGTTCATGGTTTCACTATGAATTTTGTATATATTGACCTCAAGTTTACTAAATGTCATTGTGCTTGATAAAGATAAGAGGATACTTGTCGAAACGTCGTGCTTTTAGAATAAAAACTAGTGATTGTATCCCATAAAAACTGTGTTCTGTTAATGTGTTTCCGATCGCTAAATGCCACTTTAAGATTATATATCAATGCATGTGACAGTTTTATTTCTATATTGAGCTATTATTTATATTTGTTTGTATGTAGTATATGTATATGTTGTATTGGTCTGTAATTTTTGGCGGTTAGTTAGCTGTTTCGGGGCGGGGGGCGGGGTGTTTGGCTATTATTCTTTTGTATTTAGCTATTATTATTGGTATTCAGTTATTACTGTTTTTGTATTTATGGATACAATTAATCATTATGTTATGTATTTAGCTATTATTTTGGGGGTATTTAGCGAGTGTTTTTTGTATTTAGCTAAACAAAAATAATCATGGTATTTAGCTATATCATCTTTTACTATTATTGTGGATAATTATCTATCATTTTTAAAATATTACTATTAACTCCAGAAGTCAATATTCATAACGTTATGATGATTAATTTGATCCAAATTGATAAGTAATATGTCTATGGTAATATCTTATAGGCCGGGGTTGATGGGGTCGCGGGGTCTGACAAGTCATAAGATCCATCATTGACGAGGTGTTGCATCGCCTGCACTACCCCCTGGGTTCTCTCCATACCCTCCGGGTTCCTTCCTCTATCAAATACCCATAGGCGCAGACGACCTATTGAATTGAATTCAATTATACCATATGTTAGTCCCACAATGGCCTGGTTTGTATTGACGTTATTTGCGAGAGAAAAGCGAGATTTCAAGACGTATAGTTTAATTTTGTTTAAATTAGTTCTACATTATTACACAACGCAGTTTACACATATAGAGAACTACACTAAAAAAGTAATTATGGGTATGAAATTCACTGAACATAATAATGCAGGTATTGTTACTTGCTTAAATACATATTGCGTGTCCTTCACCTCACAATTATCCTTATTTACTTGTTTTTCTCGGTGAATTCATGTAGCAAAGTGCACCTTTACTGTTTAATTTAGTTTGTTTACGATTTTGACACGAGGGAGTTTTCTTAGAAATCGCACCTGGAGTTGTAATGCGAAAAGAGAGATAAACTGTGGATCAAGACCACAGTGATAATCAATAAGAGAGTAAACACGAACAGACGTTAAAACTCATTGGTGCAAGGGAGCCGTGTTGGCTCAGTGAGCATGCCACTGGTTCGCTAGCCTCGAGGTATCAGGTTCGCTCCATGTGTTAGCCGAGACAAATTCCTGAGAAGGTCAACTGTTTAGCGATTCGATTTAAGAGTAGGCTGTAGTGGCGCTGCCCGGGTAAAAAATCCCTCATAGAAAACTGGCGATTGCCTATCTCCATTAGCCCAGTCGCTGCAGCAAAGCAGGACGTCTAAACCCATTTCATTTTCTTTCCATTTCAATTAGTTCCGCGGATGTGACGTAAAGCAAAGGCCCCGTGTATACCACTGAATATACTTGGACCCCCCAAAAAATTTACATAGTTGGCCAAAACTCCTATTTATTTACAACAATTATTAGGATTAGTTAAGATTCTATCTGTATAAAACCTGTACATATCCCAATATGGTTTATAATGCTAAAATAAAACACAGTGATAATCATCCTGGAAACATGTGTGAAGTGAAAAGTACCTGTGTTCCATAAAATTGTGTCTAGTTAGCCTGTCAGTAATATTTTGTTAATTTTTTCTGCCACTTATCAGAGTGAATCGCATCTAGGTAACCAAAAACATAACCGCCTAAACCAAATACCCGGAGCTGCCTCGTTGATCTGGAAAGCTCCGAAGATGCCTGTCCGGCCTGTTTTTCCGACAGAACGTAAAAACCACATCGGTGAGCCGCGGTGGCTACATTAGTAAGACATTGGCTCGCTAACCTGGATGTCCCCTGATCGATCCCGTTGTTGACCGATAAAGACCATCGGGATTTTGTACCGACGTAGCTTCCCCCTTGTCAGTGCAGCAGAACAGAGGACTTGGCAATGGACAGGACGTTAAACCCCATTTCATTTCTTTTCAATGCGTTCCACTATCATTAATCCAGGGATTAAGATTTTATCGGCCTCTGGGCTACGGGTAATATTTTCAAAAATGATTAATAAAATTTAAACATTTGTTTAAATGGCAGTTTTTGGCGTCTGGTTATTCCAGTTTACACCAGCAGTATTTCCCGTGGGACATGTTGGACCTCGTTCATAGAGTCGCCTCTTTACACATGGCGCTCGGGGGTATTCTGGTACGCGATCCGTGTGCCAATTTTTAAAATATCGATTGTCACTTAAATATTGGATATCAGAAGCGTATCTTTTCACTTAGTCAATTTGGTTTCCGTGGAGTGGGTGATTAACCATTGCAGAACCACTGACCAATTAGAATCCTCCGTCATTATTGAAACTACTTTTATTTGGCTTATAAATCTGTATAGTTCAGGAAAGCGGTGAACTTTCTCGGCTAACACCGGGGTCGAACACGGAACATCCAGCCAACGTCTTACGCACCGAGCCATCGCGACCCCTCTTCCTTACTATTATGATTGATAGCACTATATTTGGCGCATGAAAAACTTTTCTGAACGACTATACTTTGTCCATTGCATAGCCCTCCGTTGTACATCATTGATAAGGGGGAACCACGCCGGAAAATCCTGGTGAACTTTCTCGCCTAACACCGGGATCGACCACGGAACATCCAGCCAACGTCTTACTGACCGAACCATCGCAGCCCCTATTCCTTCACTTACTATTATGATTAGTAGTACTAAATTTGACGCATGAACAAATTTCCTGTGTGTTATCATATTTAATTCTATAAATGTGTCTTTTCATCTGTTGTTGCCGGTACGCCGTCCTTTCTATTTTTGGTCACTTTTGTCCTCGAGAAAATAATTTCAGCTCCAATATAGCCTAGAAATCCAACTGATAGAAGTACAATGGCGATATAAATCCTCGTTCTTAAACACAAGAAAACTCCACAAACAAACGTTGTTGTGAATGCAAAGGCCTTGGAAGTATGATAGTTGGCAAACGCCGAATCTATCTTTTCTCCGAATAATATACTTATTAAAGCTGAAAAACAAAAAGTATATTGATAACATCTCTACCCCAAAAACTAGATTGATTGTTTTTAAACATAAAGTGATATACGCTCTAAATTACTTTGCTTTGCTGAGAGAGAGAGAGAGAGAGAGAGAGAGAGAGAGAGAGAGAGAGAGAGAGAGAGAGAGAGAGAGAGGTTTAAGTTTAACGTACACTCGACACGAACTAGGTCATTTCGGGACTAACAAATGGTTCAATTTTAGTTCAATAATTCACTTGCGCGTAGCTAGTTGTTTTTAGCAGTGGGTGGAAACCGGAGAACCCGGAGACAACCCACAAGGTTGGGCAGGCGACCCTACTCCTTGTCACGTACAACCGGGGAATCTAAACCACGCCTGTTGACTCAATGACAGACGTTATGATACAACGCACACGCACACGCGCTATCCAACCTCCCGCTCTGGTTATACATTTCCATAGAATGAATTAAGTTTATAATGATAAGATTTTCACTAAAAACATCTCATTATAATATGAAAAAACTAGGTGGTATCTTTCAAATTAAGAGATACACACGTTATAGAGCATCGTTGTGATTATAAGTTTCCCCAGATTGAGTTTAAACGCAGTTTAGCAAGATTAGCTACAGTTAATCAATAAAATTGACGGTGTCTTTTACTTCACACCTCTAGTTATTGTAAATGAAGTATAAAATTGTTGTAGCTTGCAATAATACAGAGGACTTTCTGCTTGCTTTTTTAAAAAAAAAATCAAGGTAAAAACAAATTTAATGGTATCATAAACGTATGAAATTAAGAGCACTGTACCACAAAAACGATTTACATCAAACAGACCCAATCTTCTACATTCTTTCTTGTATAATTAATATTATAAATTTATAAATCAGCATAAGAAGTTTCATTCTTTTTGACACCGAACTATTTTATGATTTCTAAAAGTACTTGTAGATATACAAGTTTATTAATACTTACAATTAAACTGTGCTTGAAAAATGGCCTCCGAAATGCCCCAGACAGTAGGAATTATGAAAAACAGATACAATTGATCTTTCTGCGGTTCCCAAAAATATAATGTTAGTAGCATTCCCATATCTATGGCGCTGGCTATAGTAAATAATACATATCGTCCAGTATATTTAGCTAGACGCCCAATTAGTAATGCCAAAATGGCTGTACTTCCGCCGAAGCACGCCATTATAAATCCTACCATTGAAATACCCAATGAACAGCTGATAAAGGCCTGAAATTAAAAACAATCACATAGTTTAGTATTTTCTAAATGAAATTATTTGTACTTACGTTATTACTTCGTAGCTTATTATATCCCTTTGTTACCCCTGACGAGGTAGGGACAGGTGTCGTGTACGAGACATGGTATGCGTACTTACACATGGTGACAATATACATGTATTTATTAAACCTCAAATTACACCAATCCCAATTAAGTTCCGTTTGATTCAGTGAGCCGCAGTTCAAGTCACAGGAACGTATGGGCAATGCAATTTTAATAGTTGTACTGGTCTTATACCCCAGACAGACCGGGGTGGAGCCCTTACTGTGCTGCTATGGCGACGGAAATTGGTCTCAGAGCGCGTCAAAATCGTCATAAGTGCGGTAAAAGCTTGGTGGAAACGCCAGATATCATGCTGTGGTCTTCCTGGTCGCAAATGATCGCCGAGTCACTCCGTTTGTTTTGAGCATGTTCAAGACAAACACTAAGGTTCTGCGAACCTACCTGGAAAGTTGTGAGAACACGGCTTTTTTTTCAAATTTGTAATTTTTGGGGACATTTTCTCGCGTTGTGTTCACGTTTCTTGTCGCCGTACGGTCCGAACAGCGCAGTAAGACGCGACTCCGGTCTGACGGGGGCATTAATTTGTGGTAAATTATGGGCATTATGATTCAGATTTGTGTATATGGTGTGGTTATAATAGTGTGTATATGGTATGGTTAAATATTGTCAGATTCTAATTGGTGTATATTATGCGGTTTTAAAATACAGGTGTGACGTTATCCTTTGATGTTGGTGTATCATTATTTCAAATAATGGTACGGGCAATGTGCCAAGCGTACATTATTTATACCAATTAAAATTTTGGACCCGTGTGACGTATTTCATTGCAAATAAAATAAAACCAAGTACGAACAATCCAAACCATAAGACAGAATTCGAAGTCCTAAAAAACGTTATAGGCAAAATAGTGTATTCAAGCAAAATAGTGTAATCAGCAAATGGACTGCTCCTCGTGTACAAAATACACGACAAACAGTGGTAACAGGTGCATGTGCGAGTGTCTGCATTTTAAGTTGTTTAATGGTCTCGATATGTGTAATATATTGAAACGCCACTCGTGTTGTTTCAATATATCACTTAATGTGTCGCTCTCTACCATTAAACAACACATACGTATTTGTAGTATGGTTAGCTGATATAAATATAACAATGTAAAATCAGACAAATTTAACGAAACGAAATTGTAATCTCATGCGATTAGGAACACATGGTTAATCACCGCTATCTCTTTTGATATTCCGGGGGAATCACCATGATTAGCAGATTCATAAAAATCTCGAAGACTTGATTCGCTGACAGCTGACGATATTGTCCGCATTGTAAGATGCCCTCACAAACGCACTCGAAACACAATTCAATCATATTTCATTCATTATTTCTACTCAATATCAGATGTGAGTGGACTGAGCTGTTAGGACTTTGTTGGGTTTTTTTCTGCAGCAACCAAGTGGTCAAGGTACCCTAAACACATTTCATATTTGTGTTCAGTAGGTCAGTGGGCTACTAAGTTGTTAATGCACTGTTATAACACAATTAGTTCATATCTGATTCAGTTTTCTTATTCAAATAATCAGACGACAGTGGACTGGATAGTTGGGACTACTATCAGGTTTATTCTTTTTTCCAGTAACTGAATGTATTGTTATTCACAAGAAATGTTTCACCTTATGTGTTGTGTTCTACTTAATGCCCAGGGCCCTGTTTCTCAAAATTTTAACTAAAGATAAATCCAAATTTTTGTAGATACTTCAAATTTGATTGGCTAAGCACTAAAATCAATCTAATATTATCCAATCAAATCACTAAAATTTCGTGAAACGAGCCCCTGGGTTGTAGCGTATTCATATATAGATCAAGATTGGATACTAAAGTGACATATATACTGGGTCTACTTAAATCATCAATAATATATTTACCTTTGTATATTCTGATAGAAGTAATCCTTGGTTCATGGCCTGGGACATGAACAGGGGGATTAGAAGTGTCATCTTTTTATCGACTAAAGTAGTACAACATGATACCACGGATTTTGATAGAGATTGTTTCTGAGATTTCGGGGCTATTAATTTCGGCAGGAGAAAAGCCGTTAAACAAATTCCAATAATGTCACAAACCAGAAATATTCCCAATAAAATATAGACAACGTGGGTGTCTGGCTCTTCGATGAGCGTGCCGTTGGCAGCAATAGGGCAACTATCAGCACCACACGTTTTTGTGACGTTGTCCTCACTTTCGTCATAGGAGCCTTGTTGTAGTACAAGGGATGAAATCAAATTTCCAGTGATTTGCGTAGCTTCATAACACGTGAAGAATATTCCATTAAGCTTACTTAAAGCCGAATGGATGTTTTCATTTATTATGCGGGAATAGGCATCTCCATTCCTGGACAGATATAACCCTTGTGACGTCCATTGGGGTCCTGCAATGCCTCCTAATAATATGGACGATGGAATCAATGTCGCCCATGTTGGATAAAAATTACTCGCAGTGTAGATGGTGTGAATTATCCAGGCTATCACCAACGATCGTTTTGCGCCAACGATCCTAATAAAAGATGGCGCCATTGTGCCGGATATGAGAATAGTCCCGTAGAGACAGGCAAGGGACGTAACTCCCAATCCTGCTTCTTGATTCAAACTGCTCTGTAAGTTCTGTATGGCTAAATACGACGTGTAAATAGCCATAAAGGAAAACGAAATCACTAATGTATCCCTTAAAGGATGTTTAGGAAGGGGGTTCTCCTCGTCACTCATTTTCACTGTTATTGATGTATTTTCCGTGGCCACCATGTTTTGACTGGAACTTTATCTTTCTTGTACTGAAAAGAAAGAAGAGAAAAAATATTAGAGTCGCATGTCGTCATTTGCATTTTTTTCAAGGATTGAACCCCGCTAAACTGTCCTAAGTTGACTAATTAAGAAAACAAATCAAAATATCAACGGTAGATAATCTCCGAGTCCTCGTGGGTTTTCTCCGGGACCTCCGGATTCGTCCCACTGCTAAAGACCCCGACGCGCAAGCGAATAATTGAAATAAAATTGAACCATATGTTAGTTCCGAAATGACCTAGTTTGTGTCGAGTGGACGTTAACACCCTCTCTCTCTCTATCTCTCTCTCTCTCTCTCCCTCTCTCTCTCTCTCTCTCTGGCGTTCATGACTCCCTCGCTATCAAAATATTCGAGATTTTATTTGTTTTGAATAAGGAAATAGCTCGTTGTTGAAGACATTTGATAAATTTGATAAAACATACATTATGCAAGAGTTAAATCTGCCTATTGTAGGTCTTTCTTTAGGCCTGTAATGTTATCTAAGTTATTAATTAGACATTAATTAAGTTATCCAGACCATAATCAACTCTCGGTGTCATCGCTAGCCTGCAATATTTACTGGAATGGGATCCGATCTGCTGCTCAACGCTCATTGATGATTAAATAAAAAAAAAAGGATAAGTTTTATCGTACCGACTTTAGTAATAATGATCGAGGCTAGGCCTAAAATTCAACCGCTACATTCTCGATTCAAAGTGGATCAATTTGACTGAAAATTTCAGCAAATTCCTTTTACATTATCTAGTTTTTAACTATAAAAGTGCGAACTGCCAGCTCTTTATCTAATCTCCCATAATGTATCTTTAATAAAGCACTTGTTTACGGAATTCTTGAATTAGAGTGGATCAATCTGACTGAAAATTTCAGCAAATTCCTTTACATTATCTAGTTTTTAACTATTATAGTGCGAACTTCCAGCTCTTTATCTAATCTCCCATAATGTATCTTTAATAAAGCACTTGTTTATGGAATTGAATCCATGACCATACTTGAATTATTCCGAGACAAGTTTGAGAATGAATGAATCAAATGGGGCTTAACGTTCTACTTTTCTGCACGCAAGTTTGAGACCAGACCACTCTAGCTGATTCCGATTATGACTGTATATTAAAACTATGCTCGACTCCAAAGTCCAAAGTCCAACTGAAAAAAAAAACGGCAGTGGAACCAACCGGATATATACGGAGCATGCAAAAGGATCAACACTGTTTGATACTGTTCCTGGTGAACGTATCCGGCGATCAGTGGTAACATGTCACAAACACTGAATAGAGAAACAAAAACGGGAGCGGAACCAACCTGATATATACGGAGCTTACAACAGGAAACCAGGGTGAATGCGTCCTGCGATCAGTGGGAACGTGTCACAAAATGTACCTATGTGAATATACATGGAGACCTATTAATGTGCATTAATCCCATAATGTTTTATATTCAGGCTTATCTTCAGTGTCATGTATCTGGACAAACAAACACCACTAAAATACGATAAGATAAGATATGTAAACATTATCCAGTAGACGTGGTACAAGGGTTAATCAGCGAACTGGATGTATGAGATGTGTTGTTGACGTTTGGGAAAGTAGGACGAGGGGAAATGTGTAGGGAGTGAAGTGCTGTAAAGGGATAGTTAGATGTATTATGAATGGTTAGAGTGGCTGTGGTGTTACGGTGAAATACTATGCCGCCACCGTAACACCACAGCTTTATGATTTGTTAGACAGGAGTGATGTAATGGGTGTCAACAACTGGGTATGCTGGTACCGTCGCAACGTAGCCGTGAAATATATATTGTGAGGGGGAAGGGCGGAAACGGAAAAATATACAATGTTGACAGTATGTGCCAGGCATGAGGCTGCGCAGACCGAGCGGCAGCTCGATAGGGAGTGTGTGGGAGGGTCACCCTCATAAAAATTTTTTTTTTTAAATTTCAGTTTTCTGTAAGCAGTGAAAACACTATTTTGGCATTGTTTGCGGGGTTAAACCTAAAAATCACATTAATACACCTATTGCACGATATTGTGAAACTAGCTGACGAAGACAGCTCGGGCGGCGATTGTTGGACTCGGGGCTGCTCTGTCAGTATCTAACAAACGCATTTAGTTCGCGTACAACTTTTAAAAACCGAATGTCAGTATGGTATTTCTCACATAATTGGTTATCGCAAAAACAGAGTAAACTGAAAGCGAGTAATCTCGACTCAAACCTATAGTCTATAGCCTACTTACTACACTGGTCACTAGGCTTCCTATATTATTGTTTGTGGACGGTTTACTACTCAGTGATAAGCCTGCGCCGCAAAAAGAGGTCTCGCCTTTTATTATTAGTATAATGACTTCCTCATGTGCGGCAGGTTAGTTTGCTTCTAAAAACACTGTTTTCCGTTCCAAAAAATACAAAAGTAATTTTCTACCAGATAACCATGGTTCTTTTCACCGAGACTAGATAATTTCTCTCGGTGTAAGGATATAGCTATGGATAAGTTCATACAAGGTCAATAAATCCGCGGTCACTTCGGGTCACACTGTTGAGAAAATAAATGAAATGAAATGAAATGGGGTTTAACGTCCTACTGTTTTGCTCCGAACTGGGCTAATGAAGACGGGCATACGCCATACAGTGTGCTATGAGGGAGTTGAGAAAATAAACCGATGGGTTTGTTTAGTAGCAAATCGAGCGTGAATCAACTGAGTTTGTACTGAAAAATTTTTGAGTGATGTGTATGAACTGTCTTCACACATTCGGTTTATAATTAGCGATACACAGGTACAGTGGCAAGTGTTGTACTTCACAGACTGTTTACCTCCGAACTACCTCCGCACGAAATCCCCGATTTGGGTACTTGTTAAAAGAAAAAGAAATAGTACCTGTGCGCATGCCAGTAAAATGCCCGAACGTACCAGGCGCCAGGTCATCCAGTACCAACACAATACGATACTAGATCACTATCCAGTCAATATTTGGTATGTTTATACACTTTTACACATTAAATTCTATGCAAGATTTTAAGCTGGCAACTAAAAGTTCGAAAGGTCTGGCCCCTGTCCTAGCCCTTTTTATGACTTTCTCCGTTTCTCCATTTTCCTAATCGATGAATTTTTCCATGAAAACAAGCCAAATCCAACGAGTTCCTTAAGTAATGCTAGTCCCACACTGTCGTGCGATGCGTTACGATAGGCTTGTCCCTACCTGGCTGGTACGTGAAGATACGCTCGGGAACGTTTCAATACGATCACCACAAATGGCCAAGACTGACCTCAATGTATATGATAAGACCTGATAGGGTCACCACAATTACTCCTCGATTAAAGGGGTGTTGGATAACCGAATGGTTAGCACATGCGCGCTGTATCATGAGGCCTGTCATTGAGTCAACTGGCGTGGTTTCGAATCCCCGGTTGTATGTGACAAGGAGTAGGGTCACCTGTCCAACCTCGTGGGTTTTCTCCGGGTCCTTCAGTTTCCTACCACTGCTAAAGACCACTACGCGCAAGCGAATTGTTGAAATAAAATTAAACCGTATGTTGGTCCCGAAATGACATAGTTTGTGCCGAGTGGACGTTAAACTACATCTCTCTCTCTCTCTCCCTCTCTCTCTCTCTCCCTACGATTATAAACCACGATTTCTATCGTAGTGCGAATCGTGATAGTGAGAATCTAGCATTAGTCCCATGAGTCTATTTTCCCTCATTAAGGTGGCATTCTTTATGTTCCTTATCCTCGACTATTAGTACAAATCCCGTATGTGTTTATTTACCAGGGTTGATAAGTTTAAAGTTTAAGATAACATGATGATTAAGCTGTGCTTATCTGGTGTCCATGTGAAACCTTGACCCTAGCACATACTAAAACAAAAATATTCACTACTTTTTAGTTTCCTATTGGAATGAAATGAATAATTCGTGTGAAGTGCGGTTCTGGGTCTGTAACTTTTGTTCCAACTTTCCGTGGAGTGGTAAATAGGTACCAACGGGTGCCATTATACCAGGAACACCCAAATGTCAATTCTCGTTTGTGACCACACCCTCCTTCCACAAATAATAAAACCAGCGGCTGCCAGGTAGGATACGCCCACATTTTCGAGAGATGGATAGAGATCAAGCTAACAAGAAAGTGTTTTTTCCTACTATCAAGGGCCATAATTCAGGAAATTACAATTCGTACAAACAGGGGCCATAATCCATGAAGTTTCAATCCGATACATGCCAATATCAAAAGCAGCCGAGATCTTTTGGAGATAAACCTATATTTCAAGTTTCGTCAAAATCGGATAAGAATGGTGACCTCTAGAGTGTCCACAAACAAATTTTGGACGGACGGACGGACGTCCGGACGGACAGTGGCGACGGCATAATACGTCCACATGAAAATGTGGGCGTATAAAAATTATAACCTCTATAGGGTCCACAAGCTAAAAACGCGATTTTTCGCAGAATCAGGGGCCATAATTCAGGAAGTTACATTCCGATATGCGCGAATATCGAAAGCAACCGAGATCTTTGGGTTATAATCATACATTTCAAGTTTAAACTAAATCGGATAAAAATTAGAACCTCTATAGGGTCCACCACCTTGACATACCACATTTTTACGCTATTTGATGACGAACGGCGGCCATTTTGTCTGTCAGTTTTGGCCGATTTTCACGAAATTCGAACTCAGCCGTCCTTAGGGTGTAACGGTGATATAATAACACGGTTTTTAAAATCGGATAAAAATTATGACCTCTATAGGGTCCACAAGCTAAAAACGCGATGTTTCGTACAATCAGGGGCCATAATTCATGAAGTTACAGTCCGATATGCGCGAATATCGAAAGGAACCGAGATCTCTGGGTTATAAACTTACATTTCAAGTTTCAACAAAATCGGATAAAAATTGTGACCTCTACAGGGTCCACAACCTTGATATACCATATTTGAGAACGAACGGCGGCCATTTTGTCTGTCAGTTTTGAGCCGATTTTCACAAAATTCGAACTCAGCCGTCCTTAGGGTGTAACGGTGATATAATAATACGTTTTTTTGAAATCGGATAAAAATTATGACCTCTATAAGGTCCACAAGCTAAAAACACGATTTTTTGTAAATCAGGGGCCATAATTCAGGAAGTTACGTTCCGATATGCGCGAATATCGACAGGAAACGAGATCTTTGGGTTATAAGCATACATTTCAAGTTTAAACCAAATCGGATAAAAATTGTGACCTCTACAGTGTTCACAAGCTAAAAACGTGATTTTTTCGTACATTCAGGGGCCATAATCCATGAAGTTACAGTCCGATACATGCCAATATCGAAAGGAACCGAGATCTTAGGGTGATAAACCTATATTTCAAGTTTCATTGAAATCGGATAAAAAATTGTGACCTGTAGACTGTTCACAAACAATTGTGGACGGACGGACGGACAGGGGGCGACGACAATATACGTCCACATGAAAATGTGGGCGTATAAAAAAGAATTCGTATGAGCTGTTTTTTTTTTAAGAAAGGGTAAACATACTCTCGTGGTTTAAATGAGAGAGAGAAATGGGATTTAAAAAACGGCCACTCGACACAAACTAAGACATTTCGGGACTAACATATGGTTCAATTTTATTTCAATCATTTGCTTGCGCGTAAGGATCTTTAGCGGTGGGAGCTAGGAAACCGGGGGACACGCAGAAAACTCACAGGCCGTGGTTTAAATGGATGTCAGAAGCTAAGAGATACTTGGTAGAAATGCAATACGAAAGATTTACTAGGAATATTAACAACATGTAAAAAAACCCAGTCACGTGAAGGAAAGTCACACATTTTGAAAATTTTATCATAACTAAAAATAGTCTGTCAAAACATGCAGCTGGAATGCATTCGGTGTGAAAATAGCAGACTATCAACGGTACATCCTGGTGATCACGGGTTACATTCCTCAGAAATAATCTGCTCTCTGTCAGTGTTTAAAAGGCGGGATTTAATGTGATGAAATGGGGTAAAACTTTCAAACACCAACAAGACTAATGAAGACGGATGGCAGACAAATATGTATGGACTGAAACAAAATAAAATAGAGAGAGAGAACGAGAGAAAGAGAGAGAGAGAGAGAGAGAGAGAGAGAGAGAAAGAGATTGGGTTTAAGGTCCACTCGACAGAAACCATGTCATTTCAATATTAATTCGCTATAGCGTGTAACGGTTTTGAGCAGTGGGAGGAAACCCGGGGATCCGGAGAAAACCCACAAGGTTGGACAGGTGACCCCACTCCTTGCCACGTACACGTGGGGATTCGAAACCTCGCCACTTAACTCTGCGACAGACCCTGTGATCAAACGCGCACGCGCTAACCATTCAGCCACCCAACTCACTTGTAAAATGAAATGGGGTTTAACGTCTTATTGGAACGAAATAGGATCTGGATTTTGATCAAATTGTTTTAAAATATTGGAGACAGTTAGTTCCCAATGTAGAGAGTATAAGCTATATTACACATGCCAATAATATTCATTGTATAGTTTCGGATAGTTAGCCATTTTGAGAAGAGGAAATGGAATGCCAATCTCTTTTTAATCCGATTGAACCCAATCCGGGAGATTATTTACCGTTGAGAGAGAGGAGAGAGAGAGAGAGAGATCGAGAGAGTTGAGAATGATCGATAAGATGAATACACAACAGCAGAGATATCAGCGGAAATGATATTGTCACCAGCGGTCGCCAATAAAATCATCGAAATAGGTCTAGTGTATTATCATAAGATAAATATACCCACAAACTTAATCGAGTTTTTCACTTTCACCCACTGGACTTTAAATTCTGCACAATGGTTAAGTTCGATTGTGCTGAATTTATGTGTAGTTTAAAGATACATTATGGGGGATAAGAAAGAGATGGCAATTCTCGCTATAATAGTTAAAAACTATATAGTGTAAAGGTAATTTGCTGAAAATTTCAGTCAAATTGATCCACTATGAGCCGAGAAAGAAGCGGGTGAAATTTGTGCATAGTCTCGGTCGTCATTACTAAAATCATTTATATAAACAGCATAGTCTCGATTATCCCCTTTTTCTGATTTAATTATCAACGGCCGTTAGCGGCATATAGGAATCTAATCCAGCCAACATCGAAGGCTAGCCTTGACATCGAGAGTTTATTATGGTCTGGATAAGTTAATTAATGTCTAATTGATAATTTAGATAACATTTCAGGCCTAAAGAAAGACTTGTAATAAGCAGATTTTGCTCTTGCATAATGCATGTTTAATGGTCGAGTGCGAGACATTATATAAGTAATATATTGATAGTGTCAGAGTGCTTTTAGCACGGGGGATATATCTATATATTACGCGGGGGTGGGGGGGGGCGAATGGTTATAGCATGTGCGCGTGCTGTATCATACGGTTTGTCATTGAGATAACTGGCGGGGTTTCGATTCCCCGGTTGTACGTGATAAGAAATAGGGTCGCCTGTCCAATCTTGTGGGTTTTCTGCGGGTCCTCCGGTTTCCTCCCACTGCTAAAGACCCCTGCGAGCAAGCGAATTATTGAAATAGGGTTGAAGCATATGTTAGTGCCGAAATGACCTGGTTTGTGTCGAGTGGACGTTACCCCTCTCTCTCTCTCTCTCGCTCTCCCTCCCTCATCTCTCTCTCTCTCTCTATTCAATCGTATTCCCAATAAATCATATTATATATTACCCTTAGTACTTACATCGTTGTGATCAAAAAATGACATATATAACACAATGGCTTCCTCTCTGGTTAGGCCTTCAATCAGTATTTACAATGACATGTTGTATAACAAGCTTGGTGAGAAGCGGAATAACTAACTAACAACCACGTGTCATTATAGCGTACATGTGCTATAACTATAACCTACTCGTGGTTATGCAGAAGCCAACAATGACACAGCATTTTCGATAATCAATGTACATTGGACTGTTAATTGGTGTTAAGTCATCCCCTTGATCAATGTATCAGGAAAAATAAACTGTTCTATCCTACCCTCAAGCCTATTACCAGTGTGTCAAGTTAAAATATTAAAACATATACCCCTCGCCCCCACCCAGCGTTCCGGCCCGTCCCGTTATCTTTCATACATTCAAATAAATTGATATGAAATGAAGTTATATACGTCCTACCTGACTGCATGTGATAAAGACGGGCATAAACTGAACGATTATAGCCATATCAATAAATGTAAGCTCCGGCATGTTTTAGTAACCATGGTTACAGAGAGGTAAAGTCCTAGGGCGCTGGTTATAAATAGATTTGTGCGAAGTTGATTCATTATAAAAAGCAAACAAAAGCAAAACTGAGTTTATATTTTTTATAAATGAATGAAATGGGATTTCATGTCATACTATTCAATCGGGTGGGCGAAAATACATTGGCGTGCACGTAAAAGAGAGAGAGAGAGAGAGAGAGAGAGACTAACATGGTTTAATTTTATTTCAATAATTCGCTTGCGCGTAGGGGTCTTTAGCAGTGGGAGGAAACCGGAGGATCACCCTTGGCAGTTGGAATTCGGTATAAGAGTAAGCCGTAGTGCCGCTGCCCAGGCAAAATTTCCTCATAGCACCTAGTATGGAGTAAGTCTGTTCTCATTAGCCCAGCCGGAGCAGAACTGTAGGACGTTAAACTTCATTTCATTTCATTTTGTAGTTTTCAGTACCAAATGGGCGAATGAAGACGGTGATATGTTACAAAACAGCATTCTATTTACTGAACCCATATAGCACGTGGTCTTGATGTGAATGAATGTATATATAGCTGAATGAATATGGACTGGCTGACATTCTGTTGTACTGAACGATAAATAAAGATTTATCTATAAATATCTCGCTCTTGATAATAATATTATATGTTATCTCCCTTGTATAATATCAACAGGGTGGTTTTATGTCCTGTTTGTTTTCTGCATGCCGTTAATAAAATTTGTATAGCCTGTTTATCGAAATTTTAACTAAAGATAAAATCCAAATTTTAGTAGATACTTCAATTTTGATTGGCTAAGCACTACAATCAATCTAATATTATCCAATCAAATTACTAAAATTTGGTTTTTATCTTGGTTCACTGACAAGGTGGGCGGCGGGGGGGGGGGGGTTCAGTTGTTTTCGAGATAGTTCCTCGGGATTTTGCCGCTTGTTTACCTCTTTGTCTATGGTTTTACATGTTGGCATATGCCATGCAGTGTGCTATGCGGCACATTTGTTTGGACAACTGTGTTGCCGCGTTCTCTTCATCGATTGTGAAGTGCTAGGGGGATCTTTTACGTGCACACCAACGTATATCATGCCTCGGTGTTTGATCCCATCCGAACAAGTAGACACGTTTCCTTGCTAGATCGTCTGTCCTGCAGCACAAACATTTGTTAATAATTGTTTTTTTATGTAAATTTTTTTATTGTATGACCAGATCATGCTTTTATGGAAAAGACCATTACTTACATTTAATTTGTACATATACGTTAACAAGCCATTTCACGCAAATTTGTCAGATATTTGTTAATATCCTTTCGATGATTATTATTCCAAAAACAAAGTTCGTTGGGAATATATTACTAATCGATAAATTACATTTGTGGGGAATGTATTTTACAGCTACTAAAGAAAATATGTTAATTTTATTGCGAGAAACAATTAATTGCTAGCATAGGCGTAGGAGCTCAAAGTAATTTAGGGGGGCATAAGAGAAAATTGCCCGAAATCAATACCGTTTTTTCGGGCATACACATCATAAGAGAGCTTCGGGTATATTTTCGGGCATGCAGTGGACAAGAAAAAGACGAGAAAATACTTTTCGGGCAGTGTGGGTCTCATAGAAATAAGTTAGTTATATTTTTTCTCTAAACGTTAATAGAAAAAAAAGGCCCCCCCCCCCCTCGGCTCCTACGCCTATGATTGCTAGTTCGCGAGGAAAGATAAGCTACGAAAACGTGTTACCAATTTCCGCCTTACTTGGTAGATATTAGAATATCCGTTAAAATACTTCATATAAATTAATATTCCTTGGTATTTTACCGCTACAAAAGAAAACATGCCGGTTTTATCGAAAATTCCGATAAATCTTTTTTCGAGAGGTGGTGCTAAATACGTACTATTGGTTGAACTGCAAACATGTTCAAATATGTAGTATAAGGGAGGCAACTCGTTTAGTTCCAGCAGGATTAAAACCACAGTTGGCTTGAAATTGTATTATTCTTTTGAAATGAATGTTATTTTTCGTAGGAATGAACGCTTGCAACTTATACAGATGAAACAGAACGTGGTAACGTCTCGCCCAAAAATGCATGGATATGGTCATCTTCAATAAGAAGGCTTGATGTAACTTTAACTCCGTACATATTATCCAGGTGTGGTAAAACTCACAGTCGTTGCTCCAGGAACATGGGATAAGGTGACTATCTGACGTATGTTCCATCCTAACCATGTACCGTACTCCACCTGTCTCAAAATCATGAACATTTCCCAAAACCTGACAGACAATTCAAAACATTTTCTTTGATTCTAGGCCAAAACGTAAACAATAGAGGGAAAAGTGGAAACTGAGGAAATAAGAGAAAGTGGAAACTGAGGAAAGAATATATCACGGAGAGAGAGAAGAGAGAGAGAGAGAGAGAGAGAGAGAGAGAGAGAGGGCGAGGGTTTGACGTCCACTCAACACAAACTAGGTCATTTCGGGACTAACATATATGGTTCAATTTTGTTGGACAGTCGACCCTACTCCTTGTCACGTACAACCGGGGAATCGAAACCATTCGGCCATCCAACCCCCGCAATATAAACCCCCAACATTCCTAATCAATTGAGGTGAATCTTTAGGGGAATAGTTGGTTTTAAACAGTAATTATTTAACATATTATGACGCACATATTCAATTATATGGATTGGGAAACAAGCTATTAAGCTTATATTAACCCGTCTCCAATAGGGAAATAGTTGCTGGTCTATGACTTTAAAATCAATATTTGGTGGCTATTAATTTTGTACTCGTCTAGTAGTTGACGCAATCATATAATTAAAATCTAGAAAAATAGTCGACCGTCATGTTGAATAAATTGGACACGGTAAGATAAGATAAAATGTATTGCGTATATATATAACATTGGTTGCCAGGCAATGTAATATACGCCCACAGTTGCTAAATCTCTGTACAGTCGACAAGGGTTGCCGAATATTTATTCTTTTGTAGGTAATGGGAGCATTTGCAAGAAACTGATACCAATTTCGTACAGATTGGATGATGATAAATTTGGTGGTAAGGTTCTAGAAAGTGAAACAAGGGTCATAACTCCAGACGTAAATCACAGAAATTGTTGAAATTTAATAGTCTGTACAGTGTCAACAAGAAATTGTGGACGACCGACTGCCGGACGGGGGCAACAATATACAACCACAATTCGGAAAATAAAAACTACTTTATAGTTTTAGATTGGATGTGTGTGTGTGGGTGTGTGTGTGTGGGTGTGTGTGTGTATGGGATTGTGTGGGTGTGGGTGTGTGTGTGTGTGTGTGTGTGTGTGTAAGGGGGGGGTAATAGGTCTACTTTTTTAAGACTCTCCAGTTTATACACTGTAGTAATACAGTGATGGAAACCACGACAGCAAGCCAGTGCTCGAAGCCTGGCATTCAAGACCAAAAGGCCATCCAAAACCCCCTAATACAGGCTAATTGGGAAATGCTCAAACATCAAAATAATATATTCTCAATGCTCATGGAAAATGCGCCCAGGCTCGTCTTTCTGTGGATTGTCTCCCTTGTAGTGAGTTTGTTTTTATTTTTAGAGAAGTACGTGTAATTTGCAGTGTCGAATCTGTGCAACGCAGTGGATACTTAAAGTTGTCAATGGATCCATTCACTTAACCTGATAGTTCTTATATTGTTGCTTATTATTACATGATATGTGTCTGAAATGAAATGGTGGTGGTGGGGGATGGGCGGGGGTCTAGGGGTTAAACGCGTACGCGGTGTATCATGAGGTCTGTCATCATTGAGTCAACTGTGGTGTGGTTTCGATTCCCCTCTTGTACGTGACAAGGAGAAGGCTCTCCTGTCCAACCTCGTGGGTTTTCTCTTTGTCTTCCAGTTGCGCCCCTCTTCTAGACCCCTACGCGCACACGAATTATTCAAATATGTTAGTCCAGACGTTACCTTGTCTGTGTCGAGTGGACGTTAAAACCCATTTATCTCTCTCTCCTTTTTTCTGAAATGAAGTGGGGTTTAACGTCCTACTGTTCTTCAACGATGGGTCTGAATTTCTGTTTATTTTCCTGTAGGAGCCATGATGGCTCAGTGAGTAAGACGTTGGCTCGCTAACCTGAACGTCCCGTGTACGATCCCTGTGTTGTCCGAGAAACTTCATCGGGATTTTCCGGCGTGATCCCCCCTTGTCAGAGGCGAAGGACGGGGAGACTGGCAAGGGGCAACGTATAGTCGTTCGGATGGTAGGAAAAACCGAGGTCCCGTCTACACATTGCCGTAGACGTAAAGGATCCCTTGGCAGTTGAAATTCGATTTAAGAGTAAGCTGTAGTGACGCTGGCCGGACAATATGTCCCTCATAGCACACACTGTATGGCGTATGCCCGTCTTCATTAGCCCAGGTGGAACAGAACAATATGACGTTAAACATGATTTCATTTTTTTTTCTGCACTTACTATTAAAGTTAATACGTTGTAAACAAATGGAGCAGGTGAAATTTATAATAAATCACTTGTTCACACAGCAGATAATCATCTACAAATCAGCAGGTGCATACCAAACTTCTGGTTGTTTTTTTTGTTTGGTCATTGATATTTTCCTACGCAATACCGCTCAAATTCGAAATCCTGCCATAAGGTCTGTCATTGAGTC